ACAGCGAGATTTTCCGCACACTATGAAGAACTGAGAAGCTTCTACATAAATCACAAAGGCTTTATGCTGTTTTTGCTAGATTTGCTGAGCCAAGCAACATCATTTCTCTTCTCATTGTAGAAAGCAAAAGACTTGTAGGGGGTACGTTTTGAATTACTGATGCAATATTTTTATTATATTTTTATTGCAGTCATAGTTTGGATACATTTACGGATGTAACTGAACTAGCTAGAAGCACATAATTAATATATATGTTCAGTCTTTCACATGAGCGCTCTGTCTATTCTGTACTGTAGCCTGGATCAGTGGACTCCTGATACTGTGTTCTACAATAGATATAGAGGTAAATCTATCTTTAGGCCGAGAACAAGTTAACAGCATAAGGTGAGGTCAAAGCTCTGCTGAAAATAGAGTTTAACCTTTCTTTCTTTGCATTTCTGTGATAGTTTTCTGTATGAAGTTTAGGAAGAAATTTATCATGTTTTGTTACTGAATTTAAGGTACCAAATAAAACATATTACTGTTTGAGACCAGAAGTGCATACATTGGTCTCAAGAAAATGGTTTGAGAAAATGAAATGGCCTACAGCAAAAATAGCTCAGATTCATTCAGGCAGTCATTGTGCTGGGAGGGAGGCCGCTCCTGATAGTCTGTCGTTCCCATTTCTTTGCCTTTGTCTAACCAAACTCTTCCGTTTTTGAGCAGTCATTTGTGCAGGGATTCAATACAATTTCTTCCCTTTCTTTCTTTGTGTTTTGATTTGGTTTGTTTTCTTTGAGGGATTCTTCAGTCTTCTGAAACAATTGGACCGTCCCTGTCTTAAACTCATATCAAAGCTGTTTTTCTTTCAAGTTCTATTACATGGCCCAAAGCCTCCCTCCTCCTCCAGTCTTAGCAGCTCAGCATATGCTAGCTGCACGCTGCAGTGAAAACCTATCCCTGGCCTTCCCCTATATTTAAAGGCTGCTGGCCCCAGATGAAAAATTCCATAATTTCTGGTATGGCCACAACTGAGAAGGTTTTAGGCTTTGCCAGAACAAGTTGGCTTGCTGTCCTGTTTTGCCTGACAGGTTTCTCACTGAAGTATGCAGTTAAACATAATAATGGCCATATACTGGAAGAATTATCTCATTTAATAGTTACTGAAAAACCTTTTCAGACTTTCTTTCCTTTCATGCAATCCATCCTTGGATACTAAATACAAAATGAAAAAACAAAAACCCAGAAGTAGAAGCAGAATGAACTTTTTTTCCCCCCCCTCAAATATGAAGGCACAGTATTGAGTATTTTGGATATGCAAGTCAGTGCGGTCTTATAATAGCACAAAACAACCACCTTTTTAAATCTTTGCAATCAGTTATTGTTCAAAGACTCTTTTTTCAGTCCGAGTTCTGTACTGGAAACAAGGCTTAATCACAGTTATTTTCCTTACTGTTGCTGTGCAAATGCTTGAATGATTGATGGAGCCTTTCTCTTCAACATGAAAAAATGAATGAGAAGATGCCCCAGAAAACAGCAGGTGGGAGGGTCAACTAAAGCATTTTAGCTTCCTTTTATGCCCCCTCCTGTGTGTAACACATAAACAATTATTTTTAATGATTTTTGGACCACTAGTCATGAGAATAATAAGTTCAATTTGAAACAAAGTAAATGGAGCAAGTAAAAGCAATCCAGTTTTTTGCCTAGAGCTTTATCTTTTGTTACTTCTGTTTTCAATTGCACATTCTTTATGTTGCATCATTTTCTAGCCCATTTTAGTGCACAGATTTTTTGAAAGGGTCACAATACATTTTTCTTTTTTATAGATACATTCAGGAAGAGAACATGATGAAGATATTTGAAATCTTTTGGAGACTCTGTAGGAATGGGCATTTAAATAAGACTGTGGTTAAAGTAAACTTGGTTTTAATTGATTTCTTTTTTCTTTTAAGCTACTGATTTTTCAATGAACAGGGAACAAAATAGTTGAACAGCACATTATTTTCTTTCATAAGCAGTGAGAGGTGGCTGTCTGCCTGGGGAAAACAGTGTAAGACTTGGCAGCCTGTTTAACCGGGGATAATTAAAGGCCCTTCCAACAGAGGGTGCGGCCCCCCCCCCCACCCCGCTGTTGGTGCACACGCGTCCTTGCTGTGTGAACCAGCCCGGAGGAAAACACCACAGAGAGTGGTGAGGTCCAAGCTCGTCCTTTGTCACAGATCAGAGTCTAGACCCAAGGACAGAGGTGGTTGTTTGAAGAACTAGGTTTTCACTGTCTGTCCTGCTGAGGTTACTCCACTTTGTGTAAAGGAGCATTCACTCTGCCAGTGCCTGCTAAGACCAACATGCTATGTGCCACATATTGAACCAAGAAATTAACCAAGTCAGAATTACTTGTATGTCTCCAAGTCAGAATTACTTGGGGGTACCAGGAGTTAGCTTGCTTGCTTTTCCAGTCTGTCTGTCTTAACAGGTAGAAGAAGGCTTGAACCTCGTTTTCCAACACTAAGTCTGGATTCACAGAGGCTTCTGCCTTTAACTTTAGACTCATTTCAGCAGAAGAGGTTGAAAAGGTTTAACAGGTCAATCTCAAGAAGAGATGCAGGTGGGTGAGAACCCAATTTGAGAGCTCCAGTAAAGCTTAGGAATGAGCTAGAGCTCTCTATAAGGCACCATATGCCCAGGACAGGATGTAGGGGTGTGCATGTGTGCGTGGCACCTCTGGAAGAAGGTAAAGGACTGTGGCTTCAAATTTGACCCCACTTTGAGCAGTGGATTGGACCAGGTGACCTCCAGGCTAAATCCCTCCCTTCCAAGCTAAATTATTCAGCAATTCTCTGATTCCGGTTGTGTCTGGATGTTGGTTCAGACACTGTTTAGCCATAGATTTATCCCAGTCTGGGTAGTGCAATTCTGCTTGTTTGTATTTGTGTAATTACAGCAGTGAAATATTTCTATTGGTATCAGTCACAAAATCTAAATTGTGTGTATGTGTTTAGTTTAAACAAATTGAGAGAATGATCTGAGATCCTGAACTAGGTAACAAGGATGTTCAGTGTCATATAAAACTTAACTAACTGCTATTACTTTTTTCTGTGAGCACAGATATTGTTCCTTTTGGGACAATTCCAAGCAAATAAGGTAGTTGAGGGGTTTTGTAGCAAATTATTCTCTTTATCCCTCCCAAGAATTTGCTGTAATCTTAGTTTGTAAACCTAATGAGCAAAAGTGTCTAATCACAGTTTTCCAGTAGAAGAAATCAGACTAGTCATGGCCATTACAGTGGGGAGGTTTATACCCCATATCTCAGCAAGGAGAAGCTGGCAGGGATTTTGTTTTCATTTTCTCGTATTTCATCTTGTCATTCCCTCAATTCTCTCTACACACAATAATCTCCCTTTGGAGCTTGCAAAAATGTTGGAGTCTGAAATCACTGTCATCACAGTGGCTTCCCTAGCTGCATGACATCAGTACTGGAGGGCACCAACCTTCATTCCTCAAGATGGTCTTTGTCCTCTAAGAAAGAAAATTGCCACAGAGGATACCTGCTGTATGTACGCCTAGGGGCTCCTTCTCTAAATGAAGACCTAAAGGCTTTTTGGTTGCAGAACTGGGTAGCACAATGATATACTTTGTTCAAAAAAGTTTTGGGTCAGATTTGTTAATTTCTGTAGACAGATGCTGCTGAGATTGACAGGCACATATATTCTGGGGGGAAAAAGGAGGTATTTTTTTTAAATAGTAGTATTCTTACTGGTTTGACAGTTTGTTATTAAACAAGACTTTTAGTGCCGACATTCATGCAGACCTGCAGTGTCAAAATACTCTAATATTTTGATCTATAGTTGGAGAGGTACGTGAACAAAGATTTTTCTACATAAGCTTTTGCTGCATGAATTGTATTTCACTGGTGCACAAGCTATTTTTTATGACCATTTATCTGTGAATAGCAGACATATTAACATCTCTTCAGTTAAAAAATAAAAGACATAAAAAATAAAAGAGCATACCACTGCCAGGTATGTTATCTTCTCGAAGGGCAGATGAAGATAGTGTGCTGCCTGCTAATAAAGAGGAACTGTACAAGTCCAAATTGTGCCATTAGCTGTTGGCTTTGTGACTAAGAGATATGGAACTAGACAAGAAAAAAGTTGGCAGCTGTGCACTGGTAACTAAGTATCTGCTGTTACATTATGGATGCAGAGTCAGAAATTGAGGCTGTGAAATGTTAATCGGCTTGCTAGGAACCGAGCGAGCATTGTGGCTTCGTTTATTAAGATAGTGCAACATTAAAAAGTGCCAGATGGAGAGGTTAGTTAGACTGACAGATGTGTGGTTAATCATTTAGACATTGCTGGTTCTGAAATGGTAATTCAGCTTCTTCTATAAAATTTTCAATAATTAGTAAGTATAACTTTTAATCAATGTTCTTTTATACAGCAGCATATTAAGTATATTCTTTCAAGGATATTACAGTAAACATTAGAAGTCATAGCAACCGTTTTATGCAAAACAATTTGTTAAGAAATTTTATGCTAACTTCATAGAAACATCCTCACCAATTTAATAATATATGTCACTCAGAATTAATGTTTTTTTTTCAAATGCAGCTATTTATCCAAAGAAGTGATAGTACCTTGAAATTATTTCTATGAATCCTGTATGTCTTGCTTCTCCTTATTTCAACAGGTGACGGAGCTAGAGTGTGTAAGCAGTCAAGCCAATGCAGTCCACACACATAAAAAAGAATTAAACCAGACAATACAGGAATTAGAATCTACACTGAGGAAAAAAGAAGAGGTATTTGCTAACATTTATTCTTACCTTTTCTGAATCACAGCAGGCATTGATATGTTTGTTCAGATGAGCAGCATGTCTGTATCTACTTCTTGTCTCCAACACAGGCTGTTAGGCTGCTCTTTCCGAGGAGGATTCAGGAAACACAGTAATTGTAAAGAATTTCCTCCCAAAATGAAAAGCATTCTCCAGACTCCCTCACACTTAAGAGATTAGTATCTGGGTGTGAATGTTGCAAATATTGGTGCTCTTTTGAATTATGCTGAGTTGTAGGATGCAAAGCGATCTTTTGGAAAGAAGTTCCAGAAGTTAAACGTACCCTGCTTTGGGAAAATACTCCTTGGCTTTTTAGTTTCATAAGCTGTTTTTGTTCTTTTCTCTTCAAGATAAGCCAAGCAAAGTTCTCTTCCATTATTCATTATTTCATATAGTTTGTTGTTTTTATGTCTTGTTACTTTCTGCTTCCTAAATTAAAAATACCATTTCTTTTAGACTCCTTTTATAGAAATCAGTAGTCAAAGCAGACAATTTTTATTTATGCTCAGTCCCATTGCTAGTGACATAATAAGCAGCTCACAGATGAAAATGGGATTTTTGGCTTGAGAAAGATCCTTAAGGGTAGATTAAAATAGAATTTAAAGTATAAAATTGTTTCTGTAATTATGAGCACCCTTAATTTTCCACCAAAAAAAATTACAGATCTTTTGTGTGGGAGTGAGTCTTGGACTTTTATAGCAAATGAAATGCTTATCTTTATTGTTTATTCACCCTGAAATTGTTCTTTCAGAACTGAGATGCAAGAATATGGGGAGCAGAGCTCCCTGTGCCATGTTAGGCAATAGCTGTTTTGGTGTCGCTGGAATGATTTGCTCAGGAAAAGCGTGAGCAGGAGCTCCCTGTGCTGATCTGTATCAGCTAAGATGTTGTTCAAGAGATCTTTTCTTCTCCCCCAGGAAATAGGAAGATTGAAACAAGAAATCGACAATGCCAGAGAGCTCCAGGCACAGAGGGATTCTCTGACCCAGAAGTTACAGGTGAGCTATAGTGCATTGTATTAATTTAGTTAGAAGGGAAAAATGATCAACAAGTGAGCAGTTCATATGAGTAGCTGATAGTCTCTTTACTGATGTTGCCAGATAAATAAGTTCAACTGTGTTGCAAAGCATTGTGACAGGACGCTCCTCTGGTACTTGTACTACAATTTCCACCTGTTGTAAGGTGATATTTTTTTCTTGAGGAAAGTCTCCAATCTCATTTAGAATTCCACAGAATGTTCTCTTGTTAGCACGTGTCCTTCATTAATACATATTCTGGGGAGCTTGGATCTCATTTTCACAGTAGTGTCATTCCCACAGGTCTGGTGTGCCACTGAACTGTCAGGCATTGTATCATCCTGTTGGAATGAGTCTGTAGTGAGCGGAATGCTCAAGTTTCTGTATTCATCAATAAGGGGGTTTCTCCACAGTTTGGCTGAAGAGCAGGACAAAGGGAGGGGAGACTGAGCAGAGCCATGAGGGAGTGGGACAAAAAGAGCCATCTGCAAGGAGATGGGGCCTTTACAAAGGAGGGAAATAGGGCAATTCCCCCACATTCTTCAGCAAGGGGGACAAAGGAGTCAGGTGAGCTCAGGTGAGAACAGATGGCGGGAGGCTGGAGTTCGGTGTAGGCGGGCCGGGAAGGCTGTAACTTCTGAGTACCTTGGCCAATGGGGAAAAGGAGAGGGCGTCCCTCGGTCGGGAAATTAGGATAAAAGGGGGGCTGCGTCCCCCAGCAAT